TAGATTTCTGTAGTTAACCTTAAATTATTCATATGGACCTTTTCTCTCAAGATTTTTTTTTTTTTTTTACCTTGAAACCTAGGGAAAGGCAGTTATCTGATAATGTTTAGCATGTCCTTCCTGGGTTATTAAAATGCTAAGCTAATTATATTTTCCCCAAATTCTTGTCACTTCAGTGTCATTCACCAGTTAAAAGAGCTGCTACTTTCTGTCATTTTCTTTGTCTTCTTCAAGATTATAGAGCAGGCCAAGTAAACATTTGTCAAATCTCTGCTGTTAGCATCTGGTAAGTTCTAGGGTGTACTAAGAAATTTATGTGTACGGCTTTATCCTCTCTTTAAGGACTGAACTGAGAATTATCCTTTGTTAGCTTTAGAAAGTCTTGTCTGTCAGCTGACATGGTTTATGCGTGGGAAAAGAGATCAGAGTTTCTACCGCAATAGTTTCTTTCTGCAGAAGGTTAGGTCACATTTTTACATAGCTTTTATATTATGTACTAAATATGGAAATTGCCTTGAACGAAAAGTAAAGTAAGGAATGTAAAACAATGACATGTTTGTTTGCTATTTGTTGTTGGCAACCTTTAATAATTGTAGTTCATAAGAGACTTCTAGAAATAATTATTTATTTATAATTTTAACAACTGTAGTTAAATAATTGTAGTTTCAACAGACTTTTAGAAATACTTATTTTGAATATTCCCAATCGAATGCCAAAGGTTATGGTTTAGTTGAATATAAGTTTGCTTTGAATATGACAATCTAGTAATAAAAGATATTACTTTCTTAATTTTGGAGCCAAAGGGCTTTTTGGCATATTTATTTTTATATATTTATTTTATACATAATAAATCTATAAAAAAGTATGCATCGAATGAGATTACATTTTCATTTTATTAATGTTAAACAATAGATAAAACTACTTTAAGTTTTACGTTTTTAATGAAAGTTATTCTTTTCTTTGGGCTCAGGATGCGCAATAAGAGCTCTCCTGAAAGACTAAGAGAATACTCCCTATAGTAACCCCTTAAATTTATCCCTCCACTGCAGAAATATACAGATTTGCAGAAATAGCCGACATAAAGGGGGAAACCAGAGGAGAAAACTTATACATTTTCCTAAGGTCTATTACACAGGACAAATATTTCTGGCTTATAAATTTCCATTGACAAATCATCTCTATTAATGGTTAATGAAGGAGTCATTTCCACAGGAAATGTGGGTGGCAATTTTGTCCCTGAAATATATTCTCTAATCTATTAAGAAATGTGTAATGAAAAATAGAAAATTATTCAATATTAAAACTAGATGGAAGAATTGTGGGCTTTTGGGTAAGGTAGGAATAAGTATGTATACTTCCAGGGAAGAGTATGTGAAATATTGTGTTATCTATTTTTATTAATGCAAATGTATTATATGATGCTTCTCGGTCCACCATGTCACCTTTCAACTCAATAATGTACTAGAAATTATCACTTACGCATTGAAAAATAATGTCATGTCACTTGTTTTCTCCTAGTAGCAGCTGTAATGAGTACATGGGATAATAGAATCATGGAATCATAAGAAAACCTGAGAGACTATTTTTACTAGACCCACTGCTACAGGAAAGTATATAACTAAACTCTTTCATATAAATATTGCTTTATTATTTTCTTTGAGATGTCCGTAACTAGAAATCCACAACCTCTTTGACAATTCATTCTAATCTTTGATCTTCGGACACTCCCCCTAAAAGTCACTTCTCCCTTCCTCCAATAACTCTATCACATGTAATATTTTGTCCACAAACTTGTTATGATTTTAAATTTTGTTATTTATTGTTTACATTTTTGTTGACAATCTTCTTCAATATATATATGCAAGCTCTAGTCAGTCTTCCTCTATACTAGTAATAGTAGTTGGCCTCCTTAAAAGGTACTCATTAAAAATACATTAAATTGATAGAAGAAAGCTAAGAAGTTAAAAGAAGGAACAAAGATCGAAATGTTCCACCTTGTGTCTAGCTGAAATTCCTTCTGCTTTCAATTAAGCATATCTTGCACTGTTCAGTCTTTGACAGATAAGGATAACAATGATACCACATTCTCCAACTAAAATACCCTCAGGTTTTTGAAGAAAATTATCTAGGACAGTTAGTGGCTGATAAATCTTACTTTAGTCTTATTTCTACCTTACTTTCTTTTAGAAGAAACAGAGGAAAAATATATAAATAAATAAGATAAAACAAAGCTTTAATTGATAATGACAAAGAACTATGAGTTATTGGTTCCAAAGAGTATGAAATCTCATTGCTTAAAAGAGACTAAATAGAAAACAAGCTCAAATACAAATTAAAAAAAAAAAAGAAAAAGGAAAAATTATAAGATGAAGCAACTGGTTCTAAGGGAAAATTTGACAGAGGATAAATAGTGGTGGTGGGGAGTAGCTAAGTAGGACCTAAGTCCTCCAGGCAATACTCCAGTTACCTAGATTGTCACTGACATTCATGTTTATGTTCTCCAGTTCTTAGCTATCTAAATTCTACATTTTAGCTTTGTAGAGGGAATAGCTTTGCAAGACCTGGATTCTTTCAAAAGGATATTTGATAGGATAATGGCATTTATTACAAAAACACATTTACTTAGACTATTCCAGCCCAACCAATAAGTGGAAATTTTCTCTCCCTAATACATGTGTATGTTGGTAAGAAGTGGGTCCAAGAATGACTATGGATGAAAGAACATGACAAAGTTCAATCATTTAAAGCAGAAATAAAATCATAAATCTGAGCAATGGAGTTTTCTCATCAACAACCAAAATGTACATTCTCCTCTTTCATTCACTTTGTATTTTCATTATTGTGACAGAAACATGAACATATTGAAAGGATCTTCTAAGAACACATTTGAAAGATTTTACTGTTGGTTTTTCAAGCATTATATTTATTTGGTAAGAAAAATTATTTATAAAAATATACATGAAGAAAATGAAGCGTATTTCAATATTAAAATGGGAAGAAAACAGGAAAACTGAAGTTCCTTTATTTATAAAGTTGCTGACAATTTCATTTATGGAATCTGGGAGGTAATGAAAAGAAAAAATCTGTTTCAGGAAAAAGTTCAAGATCTACCTTGCATGTGCCAATTTTTAAACATCCTAGATTTGTAGCAATTATTTTTTTTGAATGAGGAGTCATAAAATTATGTATAGGAGACTTTAAAATATTTGATGACATTAAATGTGATGCCAAAACAACATGTTCAAAGCTTAAGGAAAAGAGTATGATAGAGGTAGAATCATAACAGGTTGGTTTTGATAATACTGGGGCTGGTCTCACATTGAAAAGCTGTCAATGTGGGTGGAGTGGCTGGGGAGTCCATGGGCTGTGCTTTGGCAGTAGTAGTAACAGAGGAGTAGTTGGGGATGAAGAGGAAGATGGAAAGATTTCTCCAAAACCTTCCCTTCATACTTTCATATGTTCTGTTAATTGATGGAAAAAATGTCAACCTAATCATTCATTTCATTGGCTTTAAAATTTGAAAGTGATTTCAAGGGCTACAAGGTAGTCATTGAATCATGTATCATATTTTCTATTGAATTCCTATGTGTCACAATCTACTGTGCCAAATGTTGAGGATAAAATGGTGAACATTAACTGACTTTCGTTTCCTTATGTACAAAGTAGAGGTAACAGTTTCTCTCCCTGCTATCTTATAGAGTTGGTCTGTTGTTTAAGTAAGAGTGTACAACATGTGTAGTAACATGCAATAATGGTAGTGATACAGTGTTTTGGAATGGAAAATATTAGCTTCAAACAGTTTTTTCCTTACTGGTATGAAAATATGTTTTGTTATAGAATAACACAGAAAGAATATCAGAACAGTTAAAGGTGGGAGTGATTGCTATTACATTAAGAGAGGGAAACAGTAAAATTGTGAAAGGAGAAACACTGAAAAAGAGATTTCCCTTGTAATTTTGTTTGGTTCCAACTCCTTTCCTGCCAGAGCCTATAACATTCTTGAGTTACATAATTTGTTATTGGGTTTCAGCTTAGTGTTTCCTAAATTTCAGTAAGTCATGTATCAACTTCACAGATTTTTCCATATTCATTTGTAACTTTAATTAATATTTAATATTTTTTCTTTAAATCAATGATGTCTTAAAGTATAAAATATTGTGAATGCATTTTAAAATGCAAAGTTTATATCATTCCTTTAAAGAGGAAACCAGTACCACTTGCTATAATAGAAGGTAGATATAAAACTCATAACATTAAAACAAAATAACATTATTTAATTCTAGGTACATGCCATTACCTAACCAAGGCTCTGAGCCTAAGGACAAGGGTCTTCTCTATCTTTGGTAAAAAGGGTGATTAGTAAGTACTGAAGAAGTGTTACAGATACATTAGGACCAAAGTGAAATTTTTCTCTTTTGGATAATCAGAAGGCTAGGAAAATATTGAAGAGGTGTAAAAAGGTTTAACTTTCTTAATCTATGATACAATATTATTTAATGATATCTCCTATAGTAGCTAAAATACTTCACAAAGGTCAATACCAGATAATGGAAAACCCTGGTATAGTTTGTCTGAATTGTATAACTTTAGGTTGAACCACACCTCTTCATAAATTATAAATAAACTCTAGTACACAGTTGCAAAGCATTTTGTAAGAAATAATTGCTCTATATGCTCAATTCCCAAAAATATTGTTCATTACACTAAGGGTATATTCATCATTGTTTAAAAGATAGAACAACTAGTTCTACAAGAGACTAAAAACTTTATTCAAAATCAAGCTTAGCACACTTCCACTACAGGTGTTGAGGAAGGAGGCAAACCTCTAACTATGCTAGCAATGTCACGTACAAGAACACAGGGCAAGTTAGGGCAGAGGAAAATGATCCTAGGAACCTGCTCTTCAGTTTCCTAACCAGAAGATCATACCCATTTCTCACAGAGAAGAAACCTCAAGCTTTGAACCAATGAAACATAGAATATGGTCCTATAGCACTTACCTCCTGTGAGCATGAGGGCACATTTGCACATACAGTTGTCATTATCAGCATCTTTAGTGCTGAAATCAGCACCATGTAAGATCAGGCTGCTCTGTTTTCCTGCTGTCCCAGTGTGACCCTTTAAATACAACCTGAAGTTAAAAAAAAAAAAAAAAAAAGAAGAAGAAGAGATATAAGCCATTTGATAGAATAACAGAACCCAGAGGAACAACTTGTTGAATGTTTGCCTTTTTCATCATTTTCTCTCTTCTTTGAACTCAGCCCTTCCAACAAGCTACTGTAAAACCCAAGCTATGTGAAGCAATAGACAAAAGAAAGAAAAGAAACAAAGAATGAAAGAGAGAAAGAAAAAAAAGGAAGGAAGGAAGAAAGAAACAAGAAGAAAGAAAAGCAGGAAAGAAGGATTCCAAATTATAAATTGGTAAAGCTCTCTACAGCCTGTGTGCTTGGTGTTTATTTCACTATGCATATTCAAACTCATATGGATTTCTGATAATGCAGAATTCAGACAAAGAACATTGGTTTATTTTATTACTACAGGTATTAATCTCTAACCAAAAATGCTTTTTAGAGCGTCAATGCAGCATGTCACTCCATTAATATCTAACACTGCAGATGTGCTAAATTTATTTTAATAGCAATAAAATAATAAATCTCATCCACTGAGGACTTACTCTGTGCTAGGCACTCTACTAAATTATTTCCAGCTGTTATTTAATTTAATTTTTGCATTAAATCTGTGATAACTCCATTTTGCATACAAAGGTTTAGAGAAGCTACATAAACTGGAATTTAGTTGTGTTTGATTCTAAAACCCAAACTTTTATACAATTCACAATCACAAAGATATGGCATCAACCTAAGTGCCCATCAATTAATGAGTAGATGAAGAAAATTCAGTATATATATATACTCAGTATATATATATACACACACCATGGAGTACTACTCAGCCATAAAAAGGAATGAAATAATGTCTTTTGCAGCAACTTGGATGGAATTGAAGACAATTATCCTAAGTGAAGTATCTCAGGAAAGGAAAAACAAATACCACATTTACTCTCTAATAACTAGAAGTTAGTTGATGGGCACATATGGGCACAAAGAAATATAAAGGTCATAGGAAATAATGAAGAAAGGAGGGGAAGAGGAGGGGTAAAAACCTACCTATTGTGTACAATGAACACTCTTCAGGTGATGGACTTAAGCCCTGACTTAAGCATTATAAAAGATATTCATGTAACAAAAATATTTATACCCCTTTATATTTTGAAATAATAAAAACTCTAAGCATTTAATTATTATGCATTCCCTGTACAAATGTTTGCTGAGCACAAACTATAATAACTCAGACATTGTTCTACCATTTAAGATATATCAGCAAACAAAACAGATAAAGACCCAGGCCTTTGAGGGACTTATATTCAAGTGGTTCAATAATTCATGATATTCAATTAAGTTCTAGGTCCCACCTGTTTAATCTCAATTATTGCAGTATTCAAAGAACTTATCTTACTCTCTAGAAACATTTCTTATATAAAATTTTCATTAACCTATATCAATGGCCCTCCAATGGTTGTAAGTATAATAAATCATCTGATCTTTTGTGAAAAAGCTCTATTCACTAGGCCTAGGAGTGTTTACTTTCAACCAGCATCTCGGATTACTCTTTGCAGACTGTCCACGGAGAACATTTTGAAGAATAATGTGCTAGAATCCAAAAACTAGTGGGCACATCACAATAGCTACTGAATGTAGCTCCCTGGCTGATGTTTGCTCATTTCCTATCAATCCTACATGCCACTTCCACATCCTTCTGGGTAGTGCAGTGCTTTGAACAAATGCAAACTTGCTCAGGTCCTTCATTGGCTCCTCAGGCCTTAGAGTAGCTAACCTGAAGTTGTTGGTATTGATAGCTGGACACTCAAGGTTTCTCTGGAAAACACTCTACCCCCTCTCTCTAACTCTACCTAACACTGCTCCTCTGTACCAACATAAAGGTATTACCAGAATCATCTAGCAATATTCCCTTTGAATCCACATAGGTCACTACTTCTGTGCCTGGGTCTTATTTATGAATCCTAACCACCCACAGTATAATTAATGGGTGATTAATATTCATGTATAAGTGAGACACTTCTGGAACCTATGCTACTAGCTCTGAGCAAAATAATACATTATTATCAAACTGGAATAACAAAGATCAATTAGTATTTGGAGGTATATATTTATCTTTTGTTTGTAACTAGGCATGTGTATGTCCCATTATTATTTTGTGGTATTCAATATTATTTTAGCAAAGGACAATACTATTGCATGTATGTGCAAGGTGTTTTTCAAATATTCTGCAGAGAGTTTTGAGCCAGAGCAAAGTATACAATTAAACCCCAATCAGGTTTTGTTGGTTTCAATAATTATGCAATGTCTAGTTAACAGTAGTCCAAATAACTTTCAAATGTTGAGTTATCACATACAAGCTTGTATTTTAAACATCTGAGAGGCAAGCTGAAAGTCACTGGTGATGAAAAATTGTAGAATGTTTTTAAGTGACAATTCACATTTGAGGCTGCAGCCAGCCCAAGTGGAGGCAGGTTTCACTAGGGGAAAATAAGGTGATAGATCACGAAAGGGAGTTCTGGGGCATGTTACCTGGATGAATTCACCACATCCCAGATCTGGACTCAAGTTTTGATTTGATCACTTTTTTGGAGGTCCTCAGCCTCTCAGAGACAGACACACACTTGTAAAACTAACAGAAACTTTTGTCAGAGCATTGTGGGAACCCAGTCTCATGGTCTCCTTAGAATTTCACACAGAAAGCCAAACTGTAATCAGAAAGTCACTTGTTGGGAAATTATGTAGCTGTGACTCTGCTAGCCTGAAAGCTCCTGCTCTACTGGGACTGGGTGAGTTTATTCCACAGGGACCCTTGAATGAGTAATGACAATTCCAACTCTGATCTTTAGCTTCTCTGTGATTTGTAACAGTCTTCTTTCTTTTTTCTGTTATTTTTAAAATATATTAATTTTTTTTTTATTTCAGCATATTACCAGGGTACAAATGTTTAGGTTACATATATTGTCTTTGCCCCACCCAAGTCAGAGCTTCAAGCTCTTCTTTCTTATGGTAAGTCAATACCGGCTTCCCTGCAGTAGTCTAATATTGATAGACTTTCTAGGTTGCAATGATTTTCTATGGTATCTTTTTCAGGTAATTCAACACAAATATTTAGTTGATTTTAAGTGAGTGATTGCTATGTGCTGGATACGTAGTTTACACGTTTATCCCTTCACATGAGGGTTACAGTCTAAATCTTATAATTTAGAATTGTTTCTTTATGCAACCAAGATAATACAAATGCATAATTATAAATCTGAGAAATAAAGAGAAGTAAAAAGAAAATAAAAATAAACCCAAATCTCACTCATCGCCAAGAATAGTTATTCTTGACATATTATATAATTTTTGTCTTTTCCTTGTTTTCTCCCTCCAAATATAAAATATTATTTTTTTAAGTGTGCATGTGTCTGAACACATTTTTACATTTTTGAGCGATACGAATACAGCTTTTGCCCACGTCCCATCTCATCTCTCTCTTTAGAGGTAACCTTCAAAAACAATTTCTCCTCATGTATAAATACAAATAGAAATAGAATTACACTTTACATGTTTCTTTACAAGATGATTTTCAAATATAATTTTATGACCACTTTTCCATGCCATTACATATTCTTCTCCAACATCATTTGGAAGCCAATGCATGAACATATCATCAATTGTCAAAGTTTAAGGGTGCCTTTATGTATCTCTAAATATGTATGCAGGTGTGTAGTTAAGGTTAGAATGAAGTCTGAAATATTTTTTTCCTGAACTTCCCTTATACAAAACTAATCAATGCTATATATTAGGCTAAGTAAAGAGACATATTTTTAGATCTATTTAAGACTTGGAGGTCATTCTTCTAATCCTGGCAGCTCTTCCCTGGATTAGTTCAATAAAGTCTTACAACTAGTCCCATTACCTTGAGTTTCTCTCCTTCTTCCTTTTCCCCTTATAATCCATGTTCCATGTGGCTCATTCAAAAACATTCATTCATCATTCCTCTACCCTAGTTGCAATCCTTCAGTTATTTCCCAAACACTCAAAGAAAAAAAGGCCAAATTCCTTACTGTGGTTCACAAGGCCTTTGAAGTCCAGTCCTTGTCTACTGTCTTCTTTCCCCCACACCAGCCCCACCCTCACCCCTTCCATCCCTTGTTACTTTCCGCACACGCACATAGTGCTCCAGCCTTACCCAATCACTTGCCCCCACATAGCAGCGCACTCTCACATTTCTCAATATATTTGCATGTGTTGGGCCTTGGTCCCAGAAAACCCTCTCCAGCTTTGAATAGCTGCTGAACTCCTATCCATTCTTCAAAATTTGTTTCAATTATAACCTCAAAGAGAATCGAAGCGGTAGCTTTCTGATGTTACTGGCTAGCTATATTTTAATTTTTGTACTTAGCTATCTCCCATAATAAACGGTGAGCTCCTTGAGGCATAGACTGCATTTTACTCATCTTTGAATCACGAGAATCTAGAACTGTCTATGAGATACAGAAAGACCTCAATGTTCATTGAATAAATGGATGGTGTCCTAAATAAGTAATTTTTGGTAGGGTCAAGGTAGCAAGTAAAAGTAAATTCAAATATAAATAACTCTAATAACCAAATATAACTGGACCACATTTTTCAGAGGAATAGCTTTTGCATCTCATTTATCAGATACTCAAGATACCTAGATAGGTACCCACTTCCTTGCTTGCCCAACTCAAATAATTAAATGTGTGTGTATACACTCTCCTATACCTTCTTGGTCTTTCCAGTTCTATTTTTGTTCTTATTTTCTCAGAAACTCCAGAATTCTATGAAAACATGTTCAAAGTATTGTGTAGATAAGAGTAAAGGAAGAAAGGCTATGTCTTAATTTGTATTATTCCATTTTATTGAATGATTTATTTGCATTGTGTGCATTGCCAACTGTTATCAGAAAACAAACTGAAAAGGAAAACATGCTTAAGGTAAATCTTTCAGTTAAAATTACTTTGGAAAAAAAAGAAATAATCTAGTGAGATGTGAAAATATTTCC